CTACTTCCAATATTTTGTAGCATATCAGGTGTTACGTTTCTGTATTCAGGTACAATGAGTTGGCGGAAATGCCAATACAGTTGGGTCGGTGAGTCAGTTACGAAAGGGGGAAGAATGTGCACTAAATTTTGAGTTAGAGTTAGTTAGGGTGAACTCTATTGCCGAGAGTTTATTGCCGTTTTATCAATGAGGATTCAATTAGTCACCTGCTCCCAGACAATGTGCGTCAATAGGTTTTTTTACTCATATTTGTCAGTATTCAAGAACCAGTTAACTAACATAAAATACCTATTGAAGAAGAGAATGTAGATACACTTTTGGTTTAGTAGGTACCGCCAGTGAGTCTGTTTCGTGCTTTTGAAGTGATATCAATTGACATGGTTTATTCCATTCCAGAATAAGTTGAAATTGTCAAACTCTATTTTCAAAATAATAGTTGTGCTAGACTTCTCTTTTGTTTAATAATGCTCACCCCGATCAAAATGTGAACGATTCGTATGTTGCCAAATTAATTAAAAAGTTTTTCCGATACAGGATCTGTCTGTAATGTGAAATACCAGCCGGCAGCGACCAATCAGAAATGAAGCTGTGGAATTTGCCATTTTAAGGCATGTTGCTTTGGATCATATCAAAGTACTCGACAACTAGCTCAAGCTATAGGGTGTCTCCCGTGCGTCCGTAATAATTATTTTAAAAGCACGCCAATTTCGCCCATACAAAGTTACATTGGTATAGTACAACTTAATGAAGATGATTCTCATAGACGATTGCAGATTTGTGGAGAGATAAGCCAGCGTTTAATTGAAGATTCGGACTTACTATTTAACATTTGCCGAAGATTGTAAATTTTCTTTGAATGATGTATTGTCCATACTCAACATTCTCAAAAACTAAACGTCTGGTGTGGCATATTAGGAAATCATATTGTAGGACCCCTTTTTATTATTATTATTAGGATCGCTGGAAATTTAACAGGTGAAGTGTACCTAAACATGCTTGAATGTGCAATAGATCGTTTAATAATAGAAATAATAGAAGCTGACCAAAATCATAATGCTGATCGGCTTCATTTCCAGCAAGAAGGAGCACCTCCACACTATGTTGCTGCTGTAAGAAAATTTTTAAATAACTGATTCCCTGGACGGTGGATTGGACGGAGAGGTCCAACTAAATGGCCTGCCAGATCACCCGATTTGCCGTCTTTGGACTATTTTCGCCAACTCATTGTAGCTGAGTGTAGAAACATAACACCTGATATGCTACGGTTCGAACTAGATTTGAACACAATATTTATTATTGGAAGCAGGTGATTCTCAGTTTCAACATCTCATAAATTAACTTTTTAAAGAGTCGTAATAATAAATCTTTAAACAAATCAAAAAAATTTAAAAAGAGCTAGCTTTAAATAAATAACAAACATTGAAACGTAATTGTTGTTGCCTTGACTCTTAACAATTTCGTGTACATTCTTCCCTTTCGTCCCTGATCCTAAGTAACCAATTCAACTGTATTGGCATTTAAATTACAACGTTTTTAGTCAAGGTAATTTACAACTAATAGGTTGGTGTTTTTGTCATAAATACCAAAACTATAGGGTTTAAGTGTCTACAGTCGTTTTCGCAGTAACTATCCAAGTAGAATCCAACAAATAGGGTATCACTGGAAAGAAAATTTTATATCCATTGAAATGATGTATCACTCGACCCCACTTTCCATTTGAAACCTTAGGGGTGTGATTGTCCACAGCTAGGGGGATGAAGGGGCGTGTTGAAAAATGTGCTTAACATGTATCCCTCTCAAAACCAAAATCGACGTGTCCGAGCATTTTTGCTTCCCATTTCACAAATAGACGTAACGCCCGGTACATACTTTTCTCCACTCCACTCTGTATATACGAATTATACAGGATGTATCTAAATAACACCAAAAAATGTAAGGGGCGACCTCTGATGAAAATTAGTAGGAGTCTTTGGTATAAAATATTTCGAAGGTTCTTCCCGGAAAAGTTACGCCCCTCCAAAAATTAATTTTTTTTAAATCTTTTTTATCTTTCATGTATATCAAGCTAAAGAAATCATACTTGGTGAACATTCTCTCTCAAAAAACTACACTTTTTAAATTTTTTCAACCCTGAAGTTTTTTTGTAAAGGGTTGAAATAATCAACCCTTATGACATTTTCTTTATATTTTTTCAATAAAATTTCCTTTTAAAAAATATATCTAAAAAGCCTTTTTGATCTCTTCAAATTTTTTCGAAAAATTTTCGATTTATGAGAAAAAAAATTAATGTATTGCAATACATTAAAAGATGAGCTGTTTAACGAGTGTATTTTAAGAAATGTCATAGGCCTTGATTATTTACCTTACAAAAATATTTCAGGGTTGAAAAAATTTCAAAAAGTGTAGTTTTTTTTGACAGATAATGTTCACCAAATTTGGTTTCTTTAGCTTGACATACATGGCAGATATAAAAAAAACAATTTTTTTTTAAATTTTTGGAGGCTCGTAACTTTTCAGAGGTTTAAAAAAAAATTATACCAAAAACCGCTACTAATTTCCATCAGAAAATCGCACCTTACATTTTTCCGATGTTATTTAGATACACCCTGTATACTGTGTAACTCAAATGTTTAGCTAAAGCTTTCTGTAAATGTAAGTAGCCAAAAATTTTTATTTCTAGGTAAAGGTTGTTTAAAATTAGTTAAAATATGGGTATAGTTTATTTGAAGTTGTAAGAAACGATTGAGCAAAACAAATTAAATAACATTATAATGAGCATTGAGCAGCGCGATTGGTATCATTATTTCAAAAATAACTTAAGTCATGTCACGATATTTTTAGCAGTAATTATATATATGTAGTATGACATTTTGCCATTTATTTGGAAACGGTATAAAAAATATCGAGATTGGGTCAGATGGTCCATCTCCGAAACTAGACTCCTATATTTTGTGGTGGAAACATACTTTTAAGAATAATAAAAAAATTTGCGAAGTATTTTAGTTACACAACTAATACTTAAATATGGGTAAAGCTTCAATTATGGTTTAAAACACTTGATTTTATTTAACTTAACTGAATAATTTTAAAATGTTAAGTCCTATTTGTCGATTAATAATAATATTTTATTTATTTCAATTTGTTTTTCAGAATAACTTAATCATTACAATTTTTTAGATGATATCTACTTGTAAATTAGTAACAAGATATTTACTTCACTTTATTTTCCTAATTGTACGATTGTGCTGGGGTAGGAGGTATAAGGGTTAAATTACTACCTACTTAAATTATTTGCTCAGAAAAACAGTTTTATATTTTGTAGTGAATTATTAATTTATATATCAGTTCCAATATCTCAAGGAATGACATGATAATTATGGTTTACGTTTGTTAAATATACTTACTAATAAAAAAAATAAAATAACAAGTCAGTATCTAGTTACTGATTTAAAGGTGTATGGTGTAAAATGTGGAGACATTTATTAGTCAATAATTGAAGAAAAAGATGAGATATATTTATTATTTCTGGCAAAAAAAAATTTGTTTATTTTCAAATATAATCCATTAAAAGAAGTACTAAACAACTAGTTACCACTGTAAGATTAAATATTTAACATTACGTGAATATTAGTATTTTTAGGAAACGAAAGTATTTTTTGTATGAACGTTTTCATTAAATTTATTAAGCAGTTTAAACAAATCAACAAAGCTTCAAATTATTAACACACTAGGGTTTAACATCATTATCAATTAAATCTCCTTCGAAGTACTATTACCGACCTCTATGCTACTCTACAAGAAATATGAAAGAAGCAAGAGAAATTTAATAAATTAAAAAAATTGAGAAATTGATTTCATATCATTTTAGGTTAAACCTCAATTAAAATAAAATGAATGATAACTGTACATAAAAATATAAAGAAAGTACAGATTTCGTGATTATTAAAAATATCTAGGCTATACCATTAAGCATATTTTTTAAATGAAAACTATTAACTTAATTTAATACACAATATCTAGAAAAATATTGGCTATAAAATCTCTATTTCAAAGCTAATCATAAAAATTTCTTTCCTTATGTTTACTATCAAAACTAATTCCCTTCCGTCACTTCCTTCTTTAGAAAATGTAGGTATCTAGGTCTTCCCAACATCCTTATAAAGCCAAGATGGACTTCAAATCCACGGCAGAAACACTCTGTTTGCCCAAGAATATGCACGACTCGAGCATCTAAAATTGCGCCTATACATTACCAAACAATTGAATTTGAAAGGACACATTTCTATTATTATCTATATTTTTCTATATCCACACATATATCAGTTGATTGAAATTCTAAAGATAATTTTTAATGCACCGATTATAAAAAAATCGAAAAGATGAGTCCAGTTCTGTCTCTTACATATCTTTAATTTATGGTTACAGTTTTTGATATGTGCATTATATTTTTCAAAAGTAATAATATTTAGTGACCCTTGTGTTTTTGATATTATTTAGGCGAAACTACTTCATTTACTGTTTATTGTTTTCCACTTTCTAATTAATATAATTTTTTCAATACATTGCCTCCAGCGGATATCAATTACACATTCATGAAGCAACATCTTAAGCAGCCACCAACTGATTTCTCCGGCTTTTTTCATTGATACCACGGTATTTAGCAACCCACTGGCCCGCTTTCAATACATGAAACACTTTCTAACTCGATCCCTACCAAAACGGACTTCATCATGAACCTGCTGCTCGGTTTACCTTGACTTAGCGTCTCTCTCTCAAGTCCATTGCCATGCCTTGTTCAGCATTTCCTCATACTAAGGAACCAGTCTTACATATCGAGGTCACTAGGTAACGTGCATTCGTTGAACTTTGTGAGATCTCGAGAAGGAAACGAGATGATGAGTTGTAATCAGGAGAAATTGGAAATTTTGGAATGTAGGACATTGTTCAATGCCATTAAATGGCGGATGCAGTAACGAGTTTTTATTTGTTGTTTGGTTTCACATAATTAATTAACACTGACTTTCATAAATTAAATAAATAGAAATTATATTAATAAATACAAAATACTTTTTTATAATTGTTAAGTTTCCTATTTAGAACATCGTTATTTTCCATTTCTAATATTCATGAAGTGACCTGAGAGCTTTGTAGATTATTTAAATAATTGTAGTAGAATAGTTACGAACAAAAGAAATATGTTATAAAATGAGTGTAAATAATTAAGAAATTAAGTAAATAGGTAGTATCAAAGATAATCAAAACTATTAAATAGAGAGATCAAGATGTATCTATGTGAGTAGGTAAATATCATAGTTTAAGTTAAGAATAGCTAAATATACATATATACATTCAACATAATCTTAGAGTTATTCGGTGGGAGAATTATTTTTTAAATATCTCAACTGCTCCCTCGAATTACTTCGGAAAGTTTTTAATAAATAACATTTAAATATTAAACAAAAAGATAGGGAGGAAGACGGAGATCAGGTATAACTAACCTTATAAAGTTATTCAAAAAACTGAATAAATAAAATATTAAACACAGGTAATGACTTAAACTTTTGGAAATTTAACTAGACTTGATTACTTCCCAAGCCCGGTAGGCCATATCCGTTGCTTCCCTCTTTTTCCTGTAATCATGGTGGCCATGACCAGCATGTATGACTGTATGCCCTCCGTCGTCGTGATCAGAATGGACCAGTTTCTTCAGCCCTATTATTATAGACAGCATAAGGGCCAAAGCTGACACCATGAGGGCTTTCATAGCCAGGAGGCCGACACCACCTATTCCAAGGGCGGCCATCATTTTTCCCATCATCAGACCCATAAGCATGATGCCGCTTCCGCCATCTCCACCTTTGCCGCCTTTGCCGCCTCCCCCTCCCCCACCACCTCTTGGTGAACCTAGAATGAAATAGAAGTTAGTAGATATTTATTTTTTTAAAACAAGAAAACAAATACATATCATAACTTTACAGTTATTTTTTAAATTCATATTTTGCCATAACTTTTTTTGTGTTAAATGAGCTGTTTCCTGGAAAATGTTATTGTTGATTAGGAGCAGGAGGATCTTTCTGTAAGATTTTTTAAAAATATTTTTTGAAAAAAAAAGAGACGCAAATAAAATAGTTATGATCAATAATTGTCATCATCATAACATTGTCTAATCGACAAGAGCCATGTAAGAGGGGCTATACATTACAATTGACAATTATTTGCGAAGGTGCAGTTTATTACTACCAAAGTCTACCAAATCTGAAAACTGTTATTTAACGGAAAAAGAGTCATAACAAAATATTAGTTAAAACGTTTTAGGGCTATATTTGAATAGGAACTATAATTGTAAATCCTAAGCCCACTACAATACTATTTTAGGTGACAGTTCATCAAAATAGTATTAGTAATTTCATCATCTGAAATGTAATAACACATTGTTTTATATCCCTTGGCTTGACTTGGTGCAATTTTTATTATTAATTTGTTAAAGATAAATTGTGCAAAGAAAAAAGGAAATTTATCAAATTAAGATAAAAAATCGCTAATATAATTTTTCAAAAATTAGCGTCTAAAAAAATCATAATTGGCTTACGATGCGCAATTTTAAGAAAATTGTAATTTCCAAATATTCGTGTTCGTAGATTCTGTTTGAATGAAAAAATATTTAAACTATACACCTATAAATTGGGACACCATGTATACACCTTTCGCTGATGAGAATCAAAGCGGCATCTTTCAATAACCATCTGAATTAATAAAGTCAGTTGTACCTGCTTTCACCGCTAGATGTCAGTAGCTATTCTTAAACTAGGATTAGCAGGATTTTATGAAAGTAGTTTCAGACAGCAACATTCTCCTGACTTCTTTCAAATAAGACTAAATAAATTTATCAGAAAAATAATATTTAATAGTTTGTAAGTAGTAACTTGTTTCTGATTGAAATTAAAGTATTGCCAACATTTACTTTGATATTTGAAAGGTAAGAAATATATAAAATTGTAGAGATTTATATAATTCACATAACAATTCAAAAATTGAATAGATGTCTAAAATCTTTCTCTCCATACAGAATGATAAAGAATAAATTCTAAATATTGTAAGGAGCTAGATAATCGATTTAAGATATAAATTTAGGGGAGCTTTTTATATAAATTTTTAACATTGGAAATATTTAGGGAAACAAATGTTCGGTTGCGACTATTGGGGCAAGGATGGTCCGATCGGAGAGATTTTGGTGTCACTGTGTAAGTTGGACTTTTTGGAGTTGATCCGGACAATCCATGATTACGAGAAAAAAAGGAAAAATTTGTAGCAATGAGTAAACATGTCTATAAAAAAATTAGTTCGATGTAAGTATTACAAAAAAAAATAAATTTTATATGAAACTTAACTTTTTGATTATTTGCAAAGCATTGAAAATGTTACAATTTCTGACATACAGAGGCGTATTTTTAGAGATGAACCTACTGTTATTGTGATAGTACTTCGCAACATGTATAAATAAATCAAATAAAATATTATATTCATGGCTTTCTTTAACTATTTTCTGCAACTCAAACCTTTTTTATTAATCTACAAACATACAACTCAAGTTTAGACAAGCCTGTATAATTCTAGCTTGTAGGTTATTAGATTTTATTTTACTTTTTTCAAGAAAAATGAACAAAAAAATTAAATACACCAAAATTATTAAAAAAATAAAGTTTTTAATAAAAATTTTAAAGGGTTCCACCTCTGAAAGATAAATACATACTTAAAAAAATATTATTTTGAGGACGTTAATATTATTATGATAAATTGCATATCCTGTACTAAGAGGCTTTCAGCAAAATAGGTAAATTTGTGCTTTCATTAACTTAATTAACAATGTGTAAATTTGTGTAAAAAAAACATTTAATTAAAAAAATATTCCTTATAAATAATTTTTTTCAGTTCGTACCAAAAGATTCTTTATGTTCTCTTACTTCTTTTTTGCTGCATATTAATTGTAAGTATAATTTCCATGATAATTGGAAAATATAAGGGTTAGTGACGAGAGAAATGTATAAAAAATTATTTAAAAATTTAAATTTGTAATAAATTAAAAAAATATAGTTATATTTTTTCTTAAAATTATTAAAAAATGTAGCCTCAAGTTCTAAAAATCAACTTTGTTCTAACAGGTTACATATTATATGTATTGATTATGCAGGCAACATAGTTAATTATTACTATTAATGTTATAAAAAAAGAGTTTATTGATAGAAATAAATTAATTTTCCAGAAAATAGTTTTGTATCCGTAAGTAGGTACCTACCTGCTGCTAATTACCCTACCAGTGTATAAAAAAATCACTCCTTTATTTGTAAATATGTACTACTTTTGGACAAATACTGGAATGTTTTAATATTTAAAGAGCATTTAATATTATATGTATGAAAAAACATATCTAGTGGATTTGAGAATGAATCTAAATTTTCGATTTTGGTAACTAATCCCTATCTACTTTTGTCTTCCTAATGGTGTACCCAGAAAAAGGTTTGATGGGTGAAATGACTAGTTTTCTATAAATTCTAAAGATGTTTTTTATATACGTATCTGGCAAAACAGTGACATGTCTTTAAAAAAAGGTACTAACTTTTCTAATTTTTCATAAAAGGATTGAAAATTTGGAGTGTTCATCGGGTGCGCCACTGTCTGACGTTTTGTAATAATAATATTTAGAATGATATATAAAATATAGAAAATATAAAAAAAAAAAAAAATTTTTCTTTAACTTACTAACAAAAGTTGTATTTATCTAAGGGGAGGTAGAGTTGAGTAAATGAGACCTATATCGAGTCTGTTTTAGGTGAGTATAAATCGATAATAAAAGAAAAAAAATGACTAGAATATGTATGTAAATACGATTTATTATAATATAGAAAATTGTTCCTGTGTGAGGAATATATTGGTTTAAAATTCGCAAAAATCTAATACTGGTTAAATATCTCTAACGTGAAGTTTCTCCTACACATATAGGATTTTTCACTTTGCGTGAACGAAACTAACCGTAGGTAATACTCAAAGAAATGTAAGATTTTCCTTTATGAACGCTTTCCGCGAGATCATATATTTTTTATATTATATTTGTTTTGGATAAGTCGATTTAATTGTGTTACGATATATACAACTGCATATTTTGATGCTGTTTTAATAATTTTTATGCCACAAGGGTGTATATGTAGATCGATGGAGACCTTACCAAAAATTTTTAAACTGGCTGTGCATAACAAAAATATTACAAAAAAATATGATAACGGAAATTAATCAATACGGTCCACACAGAAACGGTACGAGAGAGGACCATGGTTTATTATGAATAAACTCCATCTTCTTTGAGTACTATCTGCGATTAAAGTTTGGTTTACCCGATCTGGAACACTCATATAGAAATATGGATACCTGAAAATTATTAGCTGTTATATGGTGATACGTCCATACGTTTCTGGAAAACTACCAATGAGATCAACTTGGAAGCGAAGGTTATTTTGTAATATTACATTTAATGGCATTTAAGATTTGTTGATAAATTAAAAAAAAAGTAGGTAAACAAAAAAGTTTAGATAAATTTTTAGTCAATAAGTGCAATTCGTGTCTTTTAGATATTTGATGATTTTATTCAAAAGTTGAAAAAACCGCGTACTTTTTAAAAGTATGGCATATATTAATAAAGAAAATAATTATACTGACTTTTCGAAAATTGACAAAAGTGAATAATAAGAAAAGTTATTGGTATGCCTGTAGTAGCAGTAAAAAAAAAACAATTAGAACTTGAAAAATTTCAGTAAACGTATTTATAGACGCGTTTAAGTTGAGGTACGTATACTGTAATTTAAGTTTAATTTTTGATGAGTACCAAAAAAATTGTTGTTAACATTAATTAATGTAGATAAGTCAAAATTTTTTAGGACAAAATAAGTAAAAATAATGAAAAAAGCGGGGTAATTCGTTTTGCAAATGTAAAATTTTCTTTTACATTCATATTTGATACACACGTGTCACTTAGCTCAGTGACATTATATGGCACACTCTGTATTTTGTTTTTAAATAATATACATATAAAGAAACAATTGTTAATCAATAAATAATTAACATACAGAGCTTCATATTTTATACCACTCGCGAAAATTCAAAGATTCCAAAAAGACTCACTCTCGTCTTTGCCCTCCACTTCGTCCATGGCCGTTTTGAACGCCCTACCGAAGCCCTCGCCGGGCATCAACTCCTGCAGACGTATCCTGACCTCGTGATTTTTCAGATAATTTTCCAGTGTTCCCAACGTGGAGGTGTCGTCTGTGTTGGCCCTAGCGTCATTTTCACTGCGTGTGCTAATCAAATGCACTCCCTCCCCCAACTTCAAATCGTTCGGTTGCGTGTCGAGGAACTGCCGAAAAACTTTCGAGATAATTTCTAATCCATGAGGGTTGTCCGCCCGAGCGAGTGACAAAAAAATTAGAGCACTAGTTAACACTAAGAACCTCATCTTCCTCCAGTGACACGGCACGGTGTGTCTAGATTATGTTTTGGTCGGTTCTTATATGAAATAGGAAGAGAGGAAAAAAAAAGGATGCTACTTTTTAAACTTTTCATTATCCGATATTTAGTGGAGCATAAAAGTGTTTTAAGAAATAAATACAAATGAATAATTAGAAATAGAATTAGATCGCCTAGTGAGATGAATTGACCTGGTTATAGATCGAATTCCACAACGCAAGGCAATACAAGATCTAATATCGAATATCTCAAGGAAGGTAAATGCTCACATTTTTTTTTAAGGCATGAAATCTGGAACGAGTTACGGTCAACAGAACAGGACGGAGATAGTTGCTTTACTTTTAGAGACTATTTTTTACCATGTGAACGCCTAACGAGCCTCGCAAACAGGATTTAAAGTAGGAAAATTACAATGGACGAAGACTAACTGTTACTTTAATTCATTAGGTAGAAAATAATTGAGATAACTATAAGACGCATCATTGTGCTCATGAATAATCGTCTTACCTTGTAATAAAAGTATTACATACTTAAGTATATTTTACTGCAAAACAGTTATTATTCATAATATTCATAAGAAAAATATCTGCTTTAAGAAACGATGCATTAAATATAATCAGTACCCTCATTTACAATAGATACTATATAACATCTGTTATCCAAAAATGAATGGGCTTGACCTAGAAATTTCGACTCAATTCAATGCAGCTAACGAGAAAAAGTACGGCCCAATCTGTTCCCGACCTGGTGTGATTGTACGATTAATTACATTCTTTCATAAAATGTCTTAATTCTGTGACCGTGGTAGGAGTAGGATATAAAAAGAGCTACGTCGATCAGTAGATCATTTCATAAAAAAGATTTTAACAAAGAAGTCCGTTCAAAATTGTTTAATGAAAGTCGTAATACCAATTCTATAGAATGAAAGTAACTTTAAGTAGAAGGCATTGTTCTTTCATCTGTAAGTTGAACGAGTCGCAAGGCTTTTTACGTTATGAAGTAAATTGGTGTGACCAATGAACCATAACAATTAACATCATGTTGATTGTTGACTAAATAGAATACTTTCACTTTTACGCGGTGTTTATTGCCCTTGAGACGGAGGCTTTCTTATTGTTTATCTGCAAATATGTTTACTATTATTCTTGTTTAAATATTATGGTTTATTTCATTTTTCCTTAGTTTCAGCGCACTAAAAAGTAAAAAATATTATTATTATGTTGCTAGTAAGGAAAAGTTACCTAAAGACAGAAATGTAAAAATTTCCAACCTACAATGTCAAGCAACATAACCCTTAAATTTATATAATACCGATTTTAGATAGATCTGGTCTTGTTTACGGTGTCACTCGCAATGATTGTAACAAGAGATATATAGGCCAAACTAGCCGTAAACTTCGGGACCGTATTTCTGCTCAACAAAGTGATATAAGATAAGTAATAAGAATTCTTGTATGCTTACGCAACATGTTTTGAAACTTTTGGCAGTACCTGATTTTCTGAAAATTGTTGTTATGACTTTCAGGTTCCTTGGGATTCTGTTCTTCCACTATTTATAACCTTAACAACCATGTGCTCCCTTGATATTAAAATTAACATAGATAGGTTATGAGTGAGCTCTTTTAAACCCATAAAATTGTATTCTCGTTAGTTTCAATATGGAAATTTAAATCAATTTGTAACAGTTTTACCTATTAATAATAATTTATTTTTTACTATAAGACGTTTATAGACGTTTCTATTCACATATAACTTTGTGGAATGTAACCTCAACATTTACAAGTAATTTTTTTTAAATGTGTTTTCTCAAAGTTTTCATTATAATGTAACCATTATAGAATAAAGTGATAAAAGGCTTGAACTGAATAAAGAGTCCTCTTTAAATGGGCCTTTAAATCGCAATTTTGACCAACTTGCCTGAATTTTTTATATAAGTTAGTTTGAGGTATATAATAACAATAAGTGACTAATTTTTTTTTCAATTCCCGGCCAGGGGTACAAAAAAATGAAATAAAGGGGTTTTTCAAGATAACTGAAAATGGGTAAGAGCTAGAAAAAAGAGATTCTTATAAAAGTTGTAGAGCATAGAATTCTACGTAAAAATAGTCCATTGACATTTCTTTTACTATTGAAATTAACAGAGTTAGGGAGACTAGAAGTTAAGGGACGATTTCAGAAATTTAGAAAATCATAAGCAGAAAAATGAATGAATTTTATATATTTCTTTCAATCTACTCTAAAAAATGTAAACTATCTTTTCAGATAAATAAATATATTTTTTAATTTTTAATAAAAAAGTTACAACAATTTCACAAAGCGAACGTGATTCTTATCTTTGTCGTAAAACAAAATTTCGAAAGCAACTTTTCATCATTTTAAATAATCGATCGAATGGCATAGAAAAAAATTGTTTTAGTGTTAAATCAAAAAATCAACGATCAAAAAATTGAAATTGAAAGCTCGGCTGTTTAGTTTGTTTTTATGTTGAAACTTGGTTAAAAAACAATTTACTTTTTCAAGTTATAGACTACAGTAATTTTGTTTCTTTTCGAATGTAATATTCTACTTGTCTTTTATTAATTTATGCTTAATGACCAGTTAATCAACCCATAATCAACGAATGAAAAATGTCGGCCTGATTTAACATTTCAAAAACTGTTTATAGGATTCTTCAAGAGTAATTGCTTTAATCCTTTTATATCCAAAAAGTACATGCTATATCAGTATAAAATTATCCGTTATGATAAAAAAAAATATTACCTGTATTATTTATTTGTGGTGTCTTCAGTCACTTTTTTTTTTTGCATACCTAGGTACTTCTGCTGCACCGAAAAGAAAAAAATAAATCACTAGTCATTGTGTTGATTTTATAAATTTAGTGTTGTCAAGTATTTCACACTGAGAAAGTAGATAATTCTTGACGACACAATAGTTATAGTTTTTCCAATTTCAATTGAAGAATCAAGAGGTTGGCAGTATATATCAGGTTCGGTCGCTGACGCAGCAACTCGGCATCGAAATATTTGAAAAATTTGTTCCCATATTTATTTAGCCATACCCATATACAAGTCTGGTCGCCCAGTTGAAGAATGAGCGCGTGGGCAAACGCGGCACAAACACAGCCGCACTGGGCGACCTGGCAATAAATTCAGTTGTCAACAAATGTCCTAGCGGTGCAGTGCACGATGCGAAATTTGATGTGATTCAGGTAATTTTAATTTCTTATAGACACTTTCTATTAATCATTCATATTACAATTGCGAAAGGGAGAAATAAGAGGGATATTTTGTTTACAAATATTATTACAATATGGCATTTTGGAGACATTTTGAATCGGAACAAAATGAAATTTACCATCAACATAATTGTTTAAGGACATAAATAATAAAAATATGTTGTTGGTCAAATGAACATATAGGTACCTATTAGAAATTTTCTACACATTATATACAAATAAATTTTTTACCTTTAGCAGAAAACTTTATTTGGGGACGCCTATGAAACTCATTAAATTTTATTGCTAGGCGTTTTTATAGATGTTCAACTGAGTCGGAAAGACTATACTATAATACATTATACAGTTTACGTTTCGAAAAACTTGTTAAATTGACTTAAAAGTCAAATGTGAGGTTCCTTTTATGCTCATTAATTTTTAGTTAAATAACAGACAAATAACACCTTTGTTGAAAAAGTACTTTTTACTATTGTTTTGATATCAAATCAGATTTCTCTGTTTCTCCCAAAAGAGCTTTCAGTGCCATTTTTTAGTTTTGTCACCAAAAAGAGAAAAAAGACCAGGTCATTCCATTTTTGTTTATATTTTTTCTTGTTAGTCTATATACACGTTTTAAATGGTTTTGTCTTCATATTGGCTGCATGCTGTAAGATGCTATCTGTCCTTTCTGTAATGCTATTATGTACCAAGTTGAAATAATCAACTAAAATTATTTAAGAAGTTAATTAAAGATTCTGTTCACCATCTTGGAATTCCGCTCTATGGAGAGGATAGTAATTGATAATCACGACGTATATACTCTATCTAAACTGTACTAATGAAATATCAAATTTAATAATTTCAAACACTCAAGAAATTACTTCTAATGCCTGTTTATTTCTAGCTATGTTTCACCACAAAAAATAGAACAGATAATTCAGCCACAAGATTGCTTTTTCAAATGCAGTAATTTTAATCTTACTTATTTGTAAATTGCTTAAATTTTCGGAAAACGGATAATATTTGCTTTTTTCCATTTAGGTTTCTTGGTTTGTACGTATATTGTATATTTATCAACGGGAAATAAAATATTAACAAAAGTACTTTAGTAGAAGTAAAATAAAGCTTACTATTAATAAATATTTTCAATGAGAAGGGCATTTTCGGCTTTTGTGTTTTTGTGATAAAAATTTATTTAATTAATGCAGGATGTTGTTATGATATGCTTTTTGGATTAGTTAACATAGCAGTGCATGAATTGAAATAGAATTATCATAAAAGTATATATTCATAGTAAACACTTTCCTTATCTTTTAATAGAACTAGGAAAATATTCAAGGCATAATCTCACTGCATATCGAACTGGTTTTCTCACTTACATATCCTGCAGCAATAATATTAATGTTTATTATAGTGCTTCACAATGTAAATATATCCAAGTATGATAATAGCCTCGTTCCTAGTGCATTAGAATCAGTTTACAACAGTTAGATGTAATCCCATTTGCTTCCAAACAATGAATTTTGGAGAGCTAATTTCAACAAGGGATTGATTTTTTGGACTGGAAGAGGTATTACGTCATTATAAAAGAAATAATCTTTCGTTATCACATTTACTAAATTCGGATTGAAAAGATACTTTCACACAATTACATATAAATATATAGGTTGCAGGGTCCCTATAGACAAAAAATTTTTATCATTTGGGATCCGACACTAGCGTACGGCAGCTTTTCGTCAGAAAGCATAAGGGTCGTGGATTGTAATAACTTTTTTT